CCTTATTTTTTGGAAAATCACAAACGGCGTCTAAATTGTCGTTTCTATATAAAGCGGAGAAACTCTCCATTCTCGCCACTCTACACAAAAACTTTTCCTTTCATTTTATCCTACAAATTAGGCAAAAATTCCTCAAATCTTTTTGGGTTTCCTTCTCCGAAAACCCTTAACCATCATTACCCAAACCACTTCAATTCAAAATTCAAAGAGCTTACAGACCATAAGAGCAAAAATTGATTCTACTCTTCAAGTTCCATTGGCGAAGTTATTGTTATAAATTTTATAAAATTTCAATTTTTGAATTGCATTTTTACTATAATATTTCAAAATTTGATATTATTGTGAACACAATATAGCCTTATAATTTGAGAAAGTCGATATGTTACTGAGCACAATACTTTGATGTTACGGTGAAAAATTAAAAGTTTATGTTGCATAATATATGTATAAAAAGTTTGCAATTAAAAGTGAATATTGGAGTTGAAAAATTTTATGTATAGGGTAATCTTCAAATCAAAAAATTGTAACATGTGTACTGTAATTGTGTTTGTCTGATGTTACTCAAGATGATGTTTCTCTGATTTAGTAAATAATTTTAATGTTGCTATCCTTATGTTACTATGTGTATATCATGTAATTTGGTGGAACTGTTCATGTTGCTTTTACTAAATTAATGTGTTATATAATTACATGTGAACATTTTTGTTGCTTTTTTTGTTGTTCAAGACATTCGAAATTCATTGGTTTAAAATAACATGAAATAGATCATGTTATTGTGTGATAACTGAAAAATTGATTTCATAATTTCAATGTATTGATCTGCTTGAGTATTGTGTATGTTACTGTGGATACGTTACTGATCACAACCTTTGATTTTACTTTGAAAATTAAAGGTGTATGTTCAAAATATATCCCTCAACGTTTGGTTTTATTTTAATGTTCTATGATCCAGATTTTGAACTTGAATTTGAATTGTTAATGGAAACTTTTGATCTGAATTTGAATTAGTAGCACAATAATTTTGTCTTAACTAAAGCATCATAATATGATATATTTGATTTCCATAAAAAAGTGAACAGTCTGTTACTATATATATTTCAAACATCTAACCAGTGACTTTCCATAATTAACCAAAATGAACACCGTTAGGGGTATTTTTGAGATAAAAAAAAAACGGATTTAAGTCATTACATATAATTTTAAATATGAACTTAGTCCCTCATAAATTTTTTTGCCGGACTTACCAAACAAGTATATTTAAGGGACTCATCTCCAATTTTTACCAAGTTAAAACACGTAAAGGGGCCCAATATAAAAAAGGCCATGAAATGGGCCCAAAGGATCCAGTCAGTTACAAAAATGTGGGCCCAAACTTCAATGCACTAGTCTAGCTAACACATTCTAGTAGCCTTGCGTTGTGGAAAGTGGAAACCCTGTATCTGCAACTAGAGAAGCCAGAGTCAACCTTCTCCAAATTCTCTCCCCAAATATTCAGAATTTTCTATGGCTACGAGTAACTTCATTTTGCCTCTCTCTCTCTCTCATATATATATGTGTGTGTATTTATATATTGTATGCGAGTATATATAGCTGTTTGTGTAAATACATTGAAGGTGCCCTCCTCCCTATGCAATCCCAAATCGATCATGCTTGCCGATTCAATTTCTCAGGTTTTTGTATCTAGATATGTGAAGTTAGGTTTTTTTGTCTCTCTGTTTACTGTTACTATGTTTCTGATTTCTTTTGTATTTCCACTAAGTAGCTATTTGTGCAAGGTACACTGAATTTTCAGATTATATAGTCCGATGATTACGTTTTGGTATTTATCATACCACGTAGTTTTAGAGCTTCATTTAAAATTCCAAACTCGAACTTGGGCTTGTTAGACCTAAATTAGGTAGAAGGTCAAAGAATTCTTAGTCCAATGATTTTTTTGTTTTTTTTGTACAAGAGTCCAATGAAATTTGATGGCTTGGTAATATCACTGCAACTAGATAAGGCCCTAATTGGACACCGGAGTTTATTTTATTGTTGATTATGTCAATTTATGTTTACTTGGTGTATCACACATGAATTTATGCATTTGTTTACATGTTTCTTGTATTTATAATATGATAATTTACTCATCTACTGAATCTTTATTGTTGCGATTATTAAACAACAATAGTTGACTGGTACCTAAATGGTCATGTGGTTGAATATCTTCTGGTGGAACTTACGTAATGATATGCTAGTCAGACACAGGGGTTTCGTTAAGATCCTCATATTGTTGGTTAGTACTGAATTTTGGATTTAACTTTGATAGCATTCATTTCCACATCATTATTTTCTCCATTGATATCCAATTTTTCTTGCTACCTTTTTGTGAAGGATTCCAAAAATGAGTTAGAAAATGTTCATGAGATAACAACATGAATTTTTGGATCCTCATGTTTCTGTCTTTCAATGGGCATCGTCCCTCTTGGATGATTTTAACAATATTCACTATTAGTTGGAGTACGATTGCATGGGCCATTTGGAATTCCCGAAACAATGTTGTGTTTCATCATAAAGATCCTAACACACTAACCCCTTTGATGTGGGCTCAATTTGCAGTGGTGTGATGCGAGATTTTCTGAGAAGAGTAGACAGGAGGCGCAACACGTGGTTTTGTCTCATCCACATGAGCACCCCGGGGCCACAATTTTGCTTATTTTCTGAGATGTGATGGAGCCTTCAAGAAGGGAGCTACAACTAGTGGGGTGATTCTCCATGACTCACGTGAGATGATGGTGGATGGCATCGCTAAAGGGGTTTTGGCTGTCTCCAGTTTCTCTTCTGAGGCAGCTGCTATCAGAGAAGCTTGTCTTTTGGCTTCTGCATCTGAGTTAAGGGATGCTACTGTGGTAAGCGACAATTTGGAGATGATCAAACTAAGCTCTTCTGAAGATACCCCCATGGGAAATTTGTGCCTTGGTCAGTGACATTCGGTATTATGCTAAGGTTCTTAATTTAAGATTTTTACACAAGCCAAGGGCTTTTAATAGAGCACTCATTGGGTAGCAGCTATGACATTATCTAACTCACTTTTGTTGAGTTGGGTGGGTTGTCCTCCTTTCGAACATAAGGTTTTCTTATCCATTGATTTTAATCAGCATTTCCTACGTAATGATGTTCTGTGATTCTTTGTTTCAAAAAAAAAAACCCCAAAAATTGAATTGAAAAAGATGAAAAAGCAGTCAAGTGACATTATTCTCACCCTTTAAATATTCGTTTCTATCCCATTTAATCATCTTATTTCAAACTACTAAGTTCACCCCATCTATATATATCCTATTAATGATTAAGTTCATCCCAGTTATACTCATCCTATTAAATTATTATATATATCTTACAAGGAAGTCAAAACGAAACAACAATTGAAGCAAAATTTCAATAATTTTAAGGTGATCTAAAATATTTCGAGGTGTTTTGAGATATTTTGACATATTTTCACCAATATTTTTGAAATATTTTGAGTTATTAAGATATTTTGACTAATATTTTAAAAATAAATTATTTATTTTTTATTTATTTTTCATTTGTTTTTGAAACGTTTTGATACCAAAATAGTGCACTCGACGGAAATTTTGATCATTGTCTATATAGTAGGTTGAAATCAAATAAGATGAAATTAGTTTTTATTTGGTAATTATAGATATAGTAAGTTTAATAACTAATGAGGTTGGTATAAATGAGGTAAATTTAATTTAAAATAAGGAGTTAAATGGGGTAGAAAAAAAGATTTAAACCCCGCATAATGGATTTAGTTTTTATTTGGTGATTATAGATGTGATGAGTTTAGTAACTAATAGAGTGAGTATAGATGGAGTAAATTTAACTTAAAATAAAAGAGTTAAATGAGAGTGAAAAAAAGAGATTTAAGCTCACCCAAAACAGACCCCTTCATTCCATTTCATGAGACTTAGATTCTGTTAAAAAAGGGAAGGGAGAATTACATTCAACTCTTTTTGATGTTTATCACTTTATCAATTAAAATTATTGATATTTGAAATATTATATATAGATCTTCTAAGATTTTAAGATTTGTATGTAACACTTAGACTTCTAATGTCAATGCTATTATATTTATTAAAATTACACTCAAATCTCCTAAAATTTATGTGTATAATATTTAGACCCCTCAAATTTAAAATATTATACTTAGATAAAAATATTTCAATTAAATATAGAATATCAAATATTTTAAATTTTACAACAAATATTTATATTATATTATGACATTTATTGAAATAAAATTAAAACTAAAAATCTAAAAAAATTATAATTAATATACAATTATACTATCTATTGAAATTTAATTTAGTTATTTAAACGACCAAATTATTCCAATTAAAGTTAAAAGATATTGTGTCCACTATAGTTTGACCTTTTATTTGATTTTTTAATATTATTCCAATCGATAGTATAATTGTATATTAATTAAAAATTTTTAAGAAAAAATTAGATTTTTATTTTTAATTTTATTTCAATAAATGTGATAACAGAACATGAATTTTGGTTATAAAATTTAAAATATTTAATATTCTATCTTTGATTTGAGTTTTATGATCTAAGTATAATATTTTAAACTTAAAGGGTCTAAATATTATATATCTATAAACTAGTCATAACCCACGATTGAAAGCACGATAAAATATAAAATTAAATATATGATAGAAATAAGTGGTACAATATTTTTAGAGTGGAAATATATAAATGATTAAATATGTGATTAAAATGAGTGATGTGATTTCATGTTTGAGTCTGAAAAATGGATGATGGGTGACGTAAGTGATTAATGATGATTTTGAGAGAGAAAATATGACTGACAAAAAATTCAAACATATTTTTATTTTATTATATAAATTTTAAGGGGTTTGAGTGTAATTTAAAAAAAAAAACAGGAAAAAAAAAAAAGAGGGACTCCCGTTCCTAATTCTAAATGTGAAAGCGTAAGGAAGGAGAGAGAAGATCGGGAAATGGCGAGATTCTCTCTGGGTGGAGAAGATGATAGCGAGGGACCCAGCAGCTCAAGGCCCAGGCATAAGAAGCAGAGGACCATAGCTGGTATTACTCGGCCACAGCTACAAGAAGATCATTACGACAACGAACGAGAAAACCCAGAACCAGTGGAAGAAGAAGAAGTAGGAGAACAAGGAGAAGAAATAGACTCCGAATATCAAGAAAAAGAGGAGGAGGAGGAGGAGGAGGAGGAAGAAGAAGAAGAAGAAGAAGAAGAAGAATTAGTGTCCGAACGTTATGACGAGGAAGGAGAAGAAGAGGAGGATCAGAACGAAGATCAGAGCAGAACAAATGAGGGACGGGTTCGAAACGGTGGTGGAATGGGGCAGAGCAAGGATGGTGAATTGGTGGGACCCAGTGGAGACGGTTCAATTCCTGTGATTCTAACCGACCCAGATGTGTTGGATTGCCCTATCTGCCTTGAACCATTGAGCATCCCTGTCTTTCAGGTCTGTTAAGCCTTATCTCTCTTCCTCTCCTCTATAAATATGCAAGCGAGTCCGTTTGATTATGTGTGTGTATACTTGTGTCTTTGAGTTGAACCAAAAGAAAATTTTCTGATCATTGGTATTGGAAATGTATAAGCACAACATATGAGAATTGTGTTGTTAGGCATTTTTGTGGTTTTCTCATGGTTTTATGTTCATTTGGAGGTAGTCTCAGAGACTATGTGGCTATTTTTATACCCTTAATGGGCAACCGCGTTTCTGGTTGAGTGAAGGAAAGGTCTACCAATGAGAAGGGTAGTGTGAGTGGAGTGGGTTCTGTTTCAAGGGGGAAAAAGTTTATCAGGGGATAGAGTGAAGCTAAGTGAAACCTTAGGGCAGAGTGAACCCCTTGTTGGCCATTTTTGTATTAATTTTGAAGGAAATGTAGGTATTTAGCGATTTATTTCTTGACAACATCTGCTTGATGCAACACGGTGGTGGTTCTTGTGGAGAGTGAGCAATCTATGGCACTTTATCAGCTTGAGCACGTATGTCAGGTAGCGGTACTTGTGATTATCTGACCTCATACAGAGGAAGGTTTGATCTAGGTCTTAGTAATTGATAGGCCCAAGCTCCTCTTTGTTTCGCATTTGATTTAATGTTGTAGGGTTTTTAGTCCATTCTATTTGTGGCATGAACTTGGTGAAGGCACATTGGTCTAGATATTACTCCATCTCTGTGGTTCCCATGTCGAATGGCAAGTTCGTATTGTGGACCATAGTATTTGTTTCCCCAGTGGTGAATGAAATTTACATTTGGCTCGATCTTAATGGTGGTTTTCATAGTTTAATCTCTCCTCTTTATGATTTTGCTATGAATAATAGACTTATCATTCTTGATTCTGAAGTATCATCCATTGAAACAGTTGATTCTTCTTTTTATATTTTGCTCAATAGTTGGGGTGTTTAACTTCTTGTTATTTGTTGAATTAAATGCAATTTTTTTACCTCAGCTAAGTAGATTAGACATTTAGAATACAAGGTCACCAAAGATCTTAGAGAGATGCATATCTAACAGATATAGTTATTATATTTTGCATTAAAGGGATCAATGGAGTTGGTCTTTCCAACGCCTCTTGTTTTCTAAATGTTAAGATTTTTCTTTTCCCTTTTAGGGGAATGGGGAATTTATGCTCTCCAATTTCTGTTTAGTCAGTTATCTGCTAAGGTACTTGCAATAGGTGGAGAGTTAGGAAGCATGGATACGGACACGGGTGTCGTATTTCCTACGATACGGACACGGGAATTCGACAAAATTCTAAAATATAGGACATGGATACGGCAAGGACTAAAATAATATTATATAGTTTTTATATAAATAACATTAATAATAAGATTTAAAAATTATTGAGTAGTTGATTAACATCTTATAATTGGGCAATGGGCTAATGTTAAATTGGAAAATGGGCTAATGTTAAATTGGACAGTAGGCTAATAACATAGAATTGGGCAGTGGACCAACATGAAATTGGGTTGTGGGCTATGGGTTAATTTATTTGGCGATTAATTATACAAAAAAAAAAAAAAGAAAAGTATTAAAAAAAAGAACATCTTTGTTGACCGTACAATCAAGAGCGTGTGAGAGAGAAAAACAAAAAGAAAAAGAAAAAGAAGTCCTACTAGGGCAGCTACTATCTCAGGAAGGAAGTGGAAAAAGAAGAGGGAAAGAAAGCGGTGGCTGAAGCAGATATGGATTCTCAAATTCTGGAATATCCCTTTGCCTCTGGTAAGCCCCTTCATCTCTGATATGTCACTTCATCTCTTTTTTCCCTTTGTCCTTCGCCTCTTCTTCCCGCCATATCCCCACATATCCTAGTCGTATTCGTTGTTCAGGATACCTATAGAGGTGTTGGACATGTGTTTGACATTGTCACGTTGATCTCCAACGAGTATCTGTGCTTCTTAGGTGGAGAGTAATAAAAGTTAATTTGAACCTTAGCTTGGATCCTCTTTCCCCTTGATCTATAATTAATATAGTATAGGTTATGGCTAGTTACTTTTCTACTCTTTGACCTCACCAGTGTTTTTGTGCATTCCACTGTAGATGTTGGAATTGGATGAACTTCCTTAAGGTTTGGAGCTAAGGAGTACGGATATAAATACGTGTATTATATCCGATACGATACGGACATGAAGATACGATAAAATTTCAAAATATAGGACACAATTATGGAAAGGATACAAATAATTAAAATAATATTATATATTTTATATAATAAAAACATTAATATTATGACCTAATAAACATTGAGCCGTTGGTTAATATCTTATAATTGGGCAATGGACTAATGTCAAATTCGACACTTGGTTAATATGTTACAATTGAAGGGTTAATATTTTACAATTGAAGGGCTAATGCCAAATTGAACAGTAGGTTAATGTATTTGACAACTAGTAAACAAATTATACCAAAAAAAAAGAAAAATATTTTAAAAATCTTAAAATTTAATTTGTTCAAATAGAGAGAGAGAGAGAGAGAGAGAGAGAGAGAGAGAGAGAGAGAGAAAAAAAAAAGAGTGTGACTGAGGAAAAAAATATAAAAGAGTAAGGCTGAACAGAACTAGGGCAAGTTGCGCTCAAATAATTGTAGAGAGAGAGACAGAAAAATTGGAGGGAGAGAGAGGGGTCAAACACTCTGTCTGGTGAAGTAGAAGAACGAGAGAAGGACGAGGAAAGGAGGAAGAACAAAGAAGAAGAGGAAGAGTTCGAGACGACATACCTGGCTATACAAGTTCGGACTTGTGGCTGTAAAAGAGATCTTATGGGTTAGGTATCGTATCCGAGTTTTTTTTTCTATTCAGGACACTTGTAGAAGTGTCGGACACGTCTCTGGCTGTGTCCGACACCACCACGTCGACCCTCGCTGGAGTATCCGTGTTTCCTAGTTTTGGAGGAGTGTGTTTCTAAACTTTTGATACCATGTCCCAAAATATGTTTCAGCCAAACTATGAACGAAACTCAAGACTGCTGGCTGGAACCATATGTAAGCTTAGGATGGCAGCATGTTCTGCATCCTATCTTGTCCTATCTGGAACCATCTGAACACAGTTGTAGCTGTTGTTTCCTCTGTGGGTGCCCATGGAAGCTACGCTGAGGAACTCTAATGTATTATTATAAGGGTAATTAGGCAAGTATGGTAAGTATTATGAGGTTGCAATCCATCAAATATGGAATCCTGATCATCAAATCGGGTTTGCTGTAGTTTCTTTGTATTTTTTTCTCCGAAAATACAATTTCATTGTTTTGTTAGTTTGGTGCCTCAAATTAGCACGAGTAGTTCCACCGCTCTGCCAGTCTTTTCTTAATCGAGAGAAGAAAGAACCAGGTTCCCAGATGTATTTCTTCGTTTTGTCAATGGGTTTAGGTTTCTTTACTTGCATCATGGTGTTTATCTGATTCATTGGAAATCATTGCTTTGGGTAGTTCTAATTTGCAATCGTATGACCTTTACTTTGTCTAGTTGTTGATTTTTATGTAAAGATGACAGAGATTGGTAGTCACATTTATATTGCTTTCTTGCTGGTGTTCAGGATTACCTTTTTTATTGGGCTAAGACTTTAGTGCTATATTTATCCATATGGAGATTAATACAGCCTCCTTAGAGCATTTCGACCCCATATTTGATGTCTCAGGACCTATGAAACATGGATATTTCGTTAAGGTTGACGTACCCGTATCCGATACCGTATCAGATATGATATTCGTCGGATACTCAAGGATACGTATCGGATACACCTTCTACGTATCTCATAATAATTAAATATTAGGATACTTCACAAATACTTTTGTGGTCGAGCAATATATATAATTTTTGAGTTGAATTTTTAACATCTCTTTTCGAATTCACATACCATACAATACATTAACAAAAAAATTCATATTACTTTGAAGGCACGTGAGTGTTTCTTAAATATTATTTATAATTACATGTCAAAAGAGTATAAAATAAAGCTATTACATTATTATCTTAGTAAAAATTACTTCTAAATACTAGGTAAATATTAACTTTGATTCTTTTAATTAGTCACTTCACTTTGTAAATATACTACAGCGATACGATATATAATTTTTTAAAACTAAAAAAAATTACTAATTTTCTTTATTGTATATTAAAGAACTACTAAAATATTTAAGTATTAAGCTGGTTAAAAATAATAAAAATATTAAATATATTTCATTATAGCCGTATTTTGGCCGTACCCGTATCCTACTTTTTTAGACTTTGTCGTATTGCCGTATCTATATTGTATCGTACCCGTATCCCGCATCCGTACTTCATAGCTCAGGACTCATTTTTTACTATTCGGTTCTAAGTTTTTTGCTCCTGACGGAGTATGGAATGTTGAGATTTGATTATTCTTATTAGTATTCTTTATTTTTTTTATTTTAGGAAACAAAATAAGTCGTCTATCATAAACATGCAAAGTCAAAATAAAAACCAAAAACAATAGCGAAATCAGCCCATTGAGACATCACAGGCCATCATCCAAACCAGTCGTACTATCTTTCACATGAGGCCATCCAACTCGATGTGATAGAAAAAAGAGGAATATTTTCAAATTTTTTTGTCCCCAAGGCCCAAAATTAAGCTTAGAAATATATTCATTCCCACATTCCCTCCGCCACTTCCTCTTTATCTTCAAAGATTCTTGAATTTCTCTCCAACTAGATAACCCAAACAATTGCAAAAATCACACATTGCCAGAGAATAATTCCCTCACGACTTCCCCCCTAAGCCTTTAAAATCGACACAAAACATTGAGGACATAGATTGCGGCGCAATCCAACACTGACCAATCATCTCAAATAATTTATTCCATAAATACATTGTCTTAGTACAATTTACGAACAAGTGATCCACATTTTTACTACTCTCTCTAGACATGACACATTATTGTGGGCAAAAATTTGTGTTAGGCCTTCTCCTATCCGTTGAAGAATATCATAGGTATCAATCTTCCCCTTAGTCATTACCCATGCACAAACTTGCACTTTCAGTGACACCTTAGCCTTTTAAATTTTTAATGCGGGACAAAATACTCTTTTTATTTGTCGAGTCTTCACTTAAAGTGACTAGCTCAATCAAAGAAAGGACAGACACCAATTCCAAAGATTCCCTATCATTAGGATTTCTTTAGAATTCAAAGTCCCAAGTACGAAAAGGAATTTGATCTTGACAAAGAAGCAACACTATGATCATGATAGCTAGATAATTGAAAAAGGCGAGGAAATAAACTTGACAACAACAATTTCCCAACCCAAACATCCTCTCAAAATCTCACCCTCAACCCATTTACCAAAATAAACTGAACTTTTTTAGAAAAGCAAGGTAAAACCTGAGCAATGAACTTCTAAGGGTTTCGATAATTTTCCTGCACACATTAGCATCCCACCCATTAACTAGCAAGCCATATTTGCTTTTAATAACCAAATGCCATAATGAGTTATGCTCCAAAGAAAATCTCCAAAACCATTTCCCGACCAAAGTCACATTTCTAGCCATCAAATTTTCCACTGAAAGTCCACCTTTTAATTTTGACCTTAACACTACCTCTCAACTGACCAAATCATCTTTTCTACCCTCACCCTTTTCTTCCAATAAGAAATTTCCCATAATCCTGTCAATTCTCTTAGCTACCTCACATGACATCTTAAAACAGGATATAAAGTACGTCGAAATGCCTGCTAACGCCGCCTGAACTAAGGTTAATCGTCGTCCATTAGAAATGAAAGCCTTTTTTCCACCCATCCAACTTTTTTTCCAATCTTTTGAACTAGTAGATCCCAAAAGAAATAGACAATAGATTGCCTTCTAAAGGTAGACCAAAGTACTTAGGAGGCAATTCTCCCACTGGATATCCCATTGCAAATTCCAATCTAGTTATTTTATCCCGACTAGAATTTATTCCCACCATCAAGCTTTTTTCCATATTAACTTTAAGACTAGAGATCAACCCAAATGCATCAACAATCCTGTTAAGATTCAAGAATTTTTCCTCATTCCCAAAGGAGAAAAAAATGATGTCATTAGCAAACTGTTGGTCTGACACTTATACTCTATCCGTCCCAATCACAAAACCTTTTACCTAATTAAACTCCTCCACCCTCACCACCAACCTACTCAAGCCATTCACCACAAGAGTAAACAAAAAATGGTGATAAATGATTACCTTGCCTAATACCCATTGAAGCCTTAAAATTCCCCCTAGGCTTATCGTCCAAAATAACTGAGAAATTCATTGATTCCAAAAACCCTTTAATCCACATCCTTCACCTTGTCCCAAACCCTTTTGATTCCATAACAAAATCCAAGAAGTTCCAATTAACATGATTGTAAGCTTTCTCAAAATCAATTTTTGAAAGCTAAATCCTTCATACCTCTAGCCTTATATTCTTCCACCACCTCATTTGCCACAAGAGCTACATCCAAAATCTGTCTCCCTTTAACAAACTTTCCTTGATGCACCAAAATGGTCTCACTCAAACACACTTTTAGCCTCAAAGACAACACTTTGACAATGATCTATATAAGCTTGAAACTAAGCTAATTGGCCTAAAATCCTTAATCTTGAAAGAATTGTCTTTTTTCTGGATTAATCAAATAAATGTAGCATTCGTTTTTGCATTAATCACTCCTTTACTAAAAAACTCTTCAACACTTTCATCAAGTTGTTATTGTATTCTTTATTTCCTTCACCATTTTTCTAAGTGCTATATGACACTTCTACCCCAAGTCCCTTTTTTGGTTCAGATGACAGAAAACTTGTGTTCGTTTTCTTTGCATCAATCAATGGTAAGATATCAATGGTCATATCCAAGTGGCAAGTGGTTTTTTAAATTTTGCATTGAATAATATTTTGGAACAGATCCTTGGTATGACTTTTGTTTGATACTTGTGACATAGTTGTATCTTACCAGGTGTTGTTTGTATTAGTGCCCTAGACCTAAGTTTCTCGTTGTCCTTAGGTGTTGGTTACCTGATGACCATGTACAAATTGAAAAATGTGTGTCAAACATTTATCTGAATTGTGCTGCCTCTATAAATGTCAATATCAAGATTAAGTAATGTCAAGCATTTATCTTAATTGTCTTGATAGTCAAGCAAGTATCTTAATTGTCGTTACCATTAAGAACTACTAAATGTCATGTCTTGATACATGATTCTTTAATTGTCTTTTGGGCATATGTTTGCATGGCTTTTCAACCTCATTAATATGGGGTAGTACACCTACACATGTTGCTTATAGAGACATCCAATTCAGATGCAACATTTTCATTTGCCCTTTATATTTTAGCCACAAATGACTATTCCTTTCTGTTGATGTCATACAGTGGGTGACTACATTATATAATTCTTCTTCTAGCCTAATATTTCAAGTAGGTGCTATTGGTTATGGATTGGATATGAAGTGGGCTATTGTTTTGGTATACGAACTTTGGGTTTTGTGTATTTTTGTCCATAGTTTCTGATTTGTTGGTGTATCCTTAGAAATTACCATGTCAGTTGTGTATGAACTATGAAGCTTAATGACATATCCGCTGTTATTTTCCTTTTCACTTTTTTTTTTCCATCTTCCAGTCTTCTGTCGGTTGCATTCATCTGCTTTTTGAGTAGCTTCCAAGCTCTCCATGCTTGCAATTCAAAATTTGGTGACACCTTTAAACCTTGATTACTGGTTGCAAGTGTAGCTTTAACTTCATCTTCTGCTGGTAACAGTTTTTTACTGCTTACTTACATGGCATATCCATGAGAACAAGTGCTCTGATATTTGTATTTTTCCTGAATGACAATTTAGTGTGAGAATGGTCACATTGCGTGCTCCTCCTGCTGCATTAAAGTTGGGAACAAGTGCCCCTCTTGCTCTTGGCCAATTGGCTACAACCGTTGTCGAGCCATGGAGAAGGTTCTTGAATCCGTCAAAATATCATGCCCAAACATGGAGTATGGGTGCAAAGAGACAGTAAGCTATGGTAAGAAACATGACCACGAGGAGATATGTATCTATTCACCATGTTCCTGTCCTCTTCTTGATTGCGGCTTTGTGGACTCCTCCAAGCATTTATATCTACACTTCAACAGCAAACATTCAAATTCTGCTATTCGCTTCTCCTACAACCACCTATTTCCTATTTCCTTGGGAAAGAATCAAAGGAGCCGAATTCTTCAAGAACAGTCTGAAGGAAGAATATTTATTCTCAACCATGGAACTGAACATCTTGGACACGTGGTTGATGTTAATTGCATTGGGCCAAGCTCGTCAAAGAAACGGTTTTCATATGAGGTCATGGCAAGGAAAGGGGACATCTCTGTCAGATTACAATCTTTCACCGAAAGCATTTCTAGGTGGGTCGAACATGTTCCTAGAAAGGGGTTTCTTCTTGTTCCTACTGATTTTATTGGTTCTAGTGGACAACTCAGGTTGGAAGTTAGCATAGCGAGGCACCAATGAGTTATCTGCACCTGTCTTAAGAGGAACTGGCACTATTTACTCATAGTTCTTGGCACATTTTATTTTATCTGGAAATTGACTGGGGTAGTATGAGTTGTCTAGTTGTATGAAACTAGTCTGTTGTTGGGGGGGGGGGGGGGGGGGAGACAACTTATTCGGGTTGTTTATGATATTGTAAAGTTGTATCTTTGAGCTTGTCTTTGCAATCCAGCAAAGCTATTTGGACCGTTGCCTGGTGCTTCAGCTTTTGATTTTGCTACCCTTTTCTCTTCGGATAGCTTGATACGTTTGTCTTATGCTATTTGCTTGATATGTCTGAGCTATTATAGCTGCGTTTGAAGGTGATGGTTTTTTTCAGTTTTGTTGGCTGATGAGTTTTGCCTGCCAGTATACTTGTGTCTAGTTCTTAGCTTTGTGTTGTAACAAAAACTGGAACGTAAGGGAAATCTTGCAAGAAAAAGCCAAGTCCCACTTACAGACAGTATCACATAAACTTCGGAAAGAGAAAAATTTACAGTACAGGTTACGAATAGAGCCGACAATTCCTTAACACTCAGGTATGAGTTTAGTCTTAAATAAGTTAGTTTAAGATGAAACTAAGTCAACTTTAACATAATACAAGTTAGAAATGACACAAAAGATGACAACACTACATGTCGAACTAGCCTATGAATTACGTGTGGCAATTCTACATAACAGTTGAGAATTTGACACAAAATCGATACAGAATTAACATGTTTGAATTTAGTCTTAGTGGACTGGAGTGCTATATGGGTGGATCCGTTAAATCTATTAAAAATAGTGTTAATACGAATTTGACTAAACACAGTATACACCACGAATTTAACAAGATACAAACCTGATTATACACAATCTTAATTTGATTGAGTATAAATTAAATAACTTTTAACTCAACTTGATATGCTGTCAATCCCTCTCTTGGTTGGACAATTTGAGGAAAATTCATGCATCTCACTTCCCTCTCCATCTCCAATTGCTATCTGCAGTCTTCCTCTCTGCGCTTGTTTTCCTTCTGTTGGTCTGATATGACGAGTTCTTTCTCAACCTACATGGCTGGAAATTTTTTTTAGCAAACCTAAAAGTGGTTATAAAATTTAGTTCTGTAGTAGTCAATAATGTCGCGGAGAGACAGAGCACTTCCCCATTATAGAGGAAATGGCAATGAATCCTCGTTTAAGAGACAAGAGTGGCCCGTAAGCATATTGTTGCGGGAAATTATAAATGGAACTTCGTCCAAGAGACGAGAGCGGCCCGTAGGTATATTGTTACGGAAAATGGTAAATGGATCATCGTCTAAGAGACAAGAGTGGCTCGCATGCGTAGTGTGGCGTGGATGGTGAATGGGTCCTTGTCCAAGAGATGAGAGTGATACCATGAGCATACTGCCACAAAAAATGGTAAATGGATCCTTATCCAAAAAGGTAAGAGTGACTCGCGAGCATAGTGCTGCAGAAATAGTAAATGAACATAGTTGGAATCTTGTGAATAGCAGAGAGTATATCCCCAACAAATGGTATATCATTGCTTGACTGGTCTAAAAGATCAAGAGAAAAGGTCACCGCCTTGAGATAAAAAAGAATGACCCTCCTTAAGGAAAAAAAGAGAAAAGGTCATCGCCTTGAGATCAAAAAGAATGACCCTCCTTGAGGAAAAACAGAGCAACAGGGGGCGATGAACATGACTGTCAACCTTCCAATGTATGGTTCACTATTCACTTTTCACTGCTCACAGGGTTAATGATTTAAATCAACATATGGAATACTGGAATAAAGTCATATGCCTAAAGGCATGATAAAGTATAAAATTCGAGTGTCCAAAAAATTGATCTCACTATATTAAATTTTTTTAACATGTATATACTATTATATATAAATAATGTTTGAAATAAAAATTATATTAACTACAAATTAATCAAATATTAAATGATTAAACAAATAATAGAAATGAGTGATGTGATATTTTTAAAGAAGAAATAAATAAATGATTAAATATATGATAGAAATGAGTGATTTGACTTGACGTTTGAGTCTAATAGAGGGATGATGAGTGAGATAAATGATTAATGTGATTTTGAGGGACAAAAATATGATTGAGATAAAATTCAAAGTATGAAGTATTTTATTATATAGATGTGGATCGGTAATTAGAGAATCGAAACTATGTGATGTTTCTTGAGAAGACATCCTAACAAGTACTCAGAGGGGTTATGTGAGCAGAAGGGCTTCGCACACCTTGGGGGGCACCACTGCTATGACGCTTCACGGTCATGAGTTCCATCCGTACCTAGTTTGTGACACTTCTACGGTTCTACCTTGATGACCGCCCCCAACCTCGAAGAGTGAGATTTCTTCTCAAGAAACACATCTAAGTTGTATCTTTAAAATGTTACGTCTGTCTAATTAATAATGGAATATTTTGGTATGTACTGCACAAACTCCGTATGAAAGCCAGTGAGGTGGTTGAAGGTATGCACAGTGTCTGAAGGCATCGTTGACTCCTTACAAGGGCAGCTGGTGACTGCTTATATGGGCAAGTCGAACTGCCTCCAGTACTTGTGTATAAATATCGCTATTACTCACCCCGTAGTACATTAAGAGAAATATTGGTCCACAGAGATGGAGAGCGACCCATTGGAATCTTGGTTTGAGACCTTCCTTCTAGATTGCGATCATCCGGTTGGTGAGAGTGCCTCCAATTTCCTCCACATTTTGAGAGTCATTTTTCTTAATTATCGGTCATTTTATTAATTGGCAACTTGAATTCTTTCATCTCTACCATCTTTTTCACTCATCCCTTGCGTATCACCGGCATCGAACACGTGTGTCAACTCTTTTATTTCCCATCTACAAGTTCTATTTTTTTTTTACTTGTGACCATAAATCACTTCGACAAACCAAAGATGGAATTTTAATGATTAAGGTTAATTATACTTTATCGCCATAAACTATGGTTGCATCTCAATTTTGCCCCCCCTAACCTTTGAATTTCTTATTGTTTCTGATCAACTACTTCAATTAGTTTTACGTCATTCAAAACATAAACATCCGCTATTCTTTGGTTGTTGTGCGTGCAAGATCCTGCACAATATAAAAAATGAGAACAGATCTCTCCCTTCGTGAACTTGAGTGAGCCAGTTGAGTGACCAACCACGCTGCTTGGAACGATCCAGTAAGGCTGAAAGAGGTTCCTGGAACAAAGAAGAACAAGTTAGAAGGGCGCCAGAGTGTTTTTTCGGCATATCCCCTCCGACGATCTAGTCAGTCTTTGAGAAAGAGAGAGAAGGAGAAAACACTGAGTGTGTATTGTAGTAAAGAGTTTTTTGTTGCATACCCGTCTTGCCTTTTGCAAGGAGTATTTATACCTCAAAAGCTCATGATTGCTGTCAGTGTAGTCAGTAGGTGATCATTAGGTACAGGCAGTGTGCGCACTGATTCTGATGAGGAATGTCTTCTCTTCTTAACTGCTCGGGGTCCCGAGCAATCAATGCTGGTCATCGGGATGCCGACGGTACAATGTACTCCTCTCGGGGAGGATGCAATAAATGCTCTGTATTAGGAGCATTTATTGTCTTTCATTTCCGAGCCTTACCGCATTGAATGCGGTCTCATCAAGGGAATGGTGTAATTAATAGTTTGCTTTCCCAAGTCGCGTGTCAGCAACGACATGCGGTTTCTCTGTCTTCGATGTGATATCATACGCCACGCGTCCATCCCTATTGGCTGTGACCCCTGCATTCCAGTACGTTCTGACACTAATTGTGTAAGACGAGGTCATGATGAATAGCCTAGACTAGCCTAGGCTAATGACCTGTACGTCAATAGCTTATCCTGGAGTAGAGGAAGCGTCCAGGACGGGGTACCTCTCGGCACCGAGGAAAGGCTCATCTCGGAACCGAGGGAGGTATGCCGACCGAGGTACCATATCAGACCGAGGCCACGTGTCGGTTGTAAAACATACTGAATGCATGATCCTATATGACGAGTACCTCGGGGCGAGGACCTTTGTGCGCCGATGGTGCTTGATCTTAGCAACAGTGTTTTGGTAATACCGAGGACACGTGTCTTCATCATGGAGCATTTCAGAAAAGTCCCATCAACTGCCCCCCAGCCTTCGATCTTCTGACACCGAGGACACGCGTCGTAAGGAGACGAAGGGTTTCCCAACAACCACAACTGCTTCATCATTGCCTCGAGCCGCTTTCCCCGGCTTGGGATGTCGTGTGCATTAAATGCGCCGTTTCGTTTTTCGCGCCCAATGATGAAATTGCCACTATATAAATGGGGCTCCTCTTCCATTTTCTTGTTTCGCCATTCCGAACTTCCTCAAGAGAGCTTTTTCCTGAATCTTCGCCGGAGATCTCTTTCCTCTTCCATCGTCGACTGCCCATTCTTCCTTAAAGTCCTAAGGCCAGCAGACCCATCGTTGCTTCTGAACTTTCTGGAAGGAGTCGCCTAAAGTTTTCCAGAAAAAACTCCGTTTGGCATTCGGGTGAGTCCTAGTTTCTTTCTTCTTTTCTTCCTCCTATCCCTTTTTGTTTTCCGATGACTGGAGGTGTCTCCGGTTGATACTTAGCGACTAATCCTCGGGAAGCTTCCTCAGGGATTTTTAAGAAAAAACACCCTCCACTTTCTCACTTTCTTAGAGATGCCTCGTCGTCGCCCTGCTCCCGAGAATCCTCAGGCTGGTTCTTCGGGGTCGGGGAAGTATAAAGTAAAGGGTGGTGAGCAGATTAATAGGTTTAAGGTCAAGTACGACATTCCCCCGTGCGTAGACATAGAGGATTATGACTCGGTGGTGCACCTTCCTACCCTCGGGGCCGAGGATGCTATGCCCTTTTATACCAAGGCCATAATAGAGGGAGGAATTAGGTTTCCTTTACCCCCTTTACTTCTTCAGTTCCTCTCTCACTTCCGCCTCTTCCCCGGGCAGTGTTGCCTTAATGTCTTCAGAATAATTATGGGGGTCTTAGAGCTCAATAGGCGCCTCGGGGTAAATATTGGGCTGAACGATCTCCTTTTTTGTTATTCCCTCTTGAGAGTCATGCCTCACCAACACTTCTACCTCAAAGCCAGGGACCCCTCCATGTACCTTGTAACTCATCTTCCCGACTCGGACAAGGGGTACAAGGACGATATTCTTATTTTCAAGGGATCTTGGCAGAGAGGTGTTGGTCCCGAGTATAACGGCTTGTTATGCCCTCTGGAATGGAGAACGACAAGTACGTCGGTTCCTTCGGGTTTATTATTTTGTTCTCCAGACTTCCGATGTTCATGACTACTTTTTTG